TGGGAACCTGCTGATATTACTTACATTTCCTGCAAGTGCCGAATCAATAACCCATTTCTCTGCTCGTTTCTCGAAGTGCACATTTGTTGTCCAGCAGGACATGCCACATGCCGCTGCTCTCCTGCTGCGATATAAAAATAAAATCCAAATAAAATACGAATGAAATACAAAATTGCGAGTGCCAAGAAGGGCGAGGCCATCCATCGCGCCGCCCTCGTACATCATTCGATTGTTCGAAGGCAGTAATTTGTAACCTAATTGAATGCGTGAGCGGGGGAGTTCAAATCACGCATACGCCCCATTGAACCGCGCTCAATATGCGTTTCAATTTCGGCTCCAGACTTTTTTAATTATGGCTGCAGTCGGAAGCTCTTTGGCAGCTTTTCTTTTGTCCCCGCTTTTCCTAGCACACACACACACATGCCACGCCCCCTGTTTGCCAGCCGCCCCCTTCTGGGCTCTTTATGTGAAGTTTTTAATTAACTGCCTTACAAAGATTTTCCTTCTTCCGGTATTTTTCTTTTTTTTTTTTTTTGTGTCGCATTTCCCCCTGTTTTTTTTTTATTTTATTTGTGTTGCCTGCCTTTTTGTGATTCGGTGCTGGCCCGGGGACCCTGTTCTGGCCACAAATTGACATTTTTCCTAGGGGACGGGTCGGAGTGGGATACCTTTTTGACGTTTTAGCCCTCCTATTTTCGAATTTTTTGCGCTTTGCCACTTTTTTTTGTAGTTAGCTGGCGGAATTTAATAAGCCAGAAATGCGCCAGCCGAACCGAAATAAATTTGAAAAATCAGCAAGCCCGCGACGTTCACTAATTAAAGTCGCCCTCGGTATCTAGATATTTTTTTAGTTGATACACTCAGTGAAAATATAAGCCCTTAAAAAATCTACAAGCCAAAAATACATGGTAAACTTAAGAATAAATTGTACTTTTCTTCTAGATTGTTTAGAAATGTCTTTAAAGTTACTTGAAAAAAACGTTTTATTTAAGCAGTGCATTTTTCTAGTGCTGTTTTTAATGCCAGTGTAAAAGCATATGGCTGGTCACGCCCCCCACGGCCCACGCCCCCTGGCTAATGCCAAATGGTTGTCAGTTTGTCAGTTGGCCGCTGCAACAACTGCAGATAAAAAAAAAACGAAGAGAGCAACGTTTTTTTGCACCTCTTTTGGCAGGCCAAAAGGGCAAACTGTGGATTTTCCCGGGGACTGGGACAAGTTTTTGAAATGAATTGGAAGTAATGAATGAAGGAATGAATGAGATGGCGGGCCAAAAGGGGGGAAGGGGGAAAGGGGGACTCGGCACACAGGCTGAGGCAGCAGCTGTTCGTTCGCCTGTGCAATTAACTGTGAAAATGCTGTCACAATATTTAAAAGTTTTAATTGTTTGTTCAATTGCAATTGCAATTTCAAACTGGCGCCAAACTTTGCACTTTTGTTGTTTTAAACTTGTTCAGCGACTCTCGCTCTCTGATGTCGCCTCCTTTTCGTCCTTTTAGTCATCGTTCCTATTTTTTTTCGCTTTTTTTTTGGCTGTTGCAAAAACAAAAAATAATTTAACATGAATATATCGCATTTCATGCAGTCATACATCACGCGGCGGCGGAGGGTTAAGGGGCGGAGGAGGCGTGGCCAGCCGGCGGGCAAGTGACAGCACTAACATAAACCACAATAATATCCAAAGTCATGAAGGAAGTAACCAAGTGTGAATTTTCGGTTTATGCCTTGCGAACCCAAGCGTTGAAGCGACGCTCCTGCTTTTGCTGCTGCTGTTTTTCCCTTTTTCTCCATTCCGCTTCCCCCGCCATGCCCGCCTTTCCCCGATTTTCTCCGCTTTTCTCCGCTTTCCCTCGGGCGCTGCTCGTTGGCGTGGCCTGCCCTCCTTCCTGTTTTCGGTGGGTCAAACGGGCGGGGTACGGATTTATAGCTTTACTTGCCCAGACTGACGAAGTGCAGTGCGCTTCAAAAATTTTAAACACTCTTCATTTTCGGGGAAGAACTTTTGGTTAAATAAGGACCAACGAAAAAGTTGATAATGATGCCACCAACTGTTTCGCGTTATGAACATTAAATAACACTAGTCATTGTACACAAATAATAATAATAATAAATAATAGGGGAAACTCTAGATAGAATTGTTTTGGGAAAACAAAAAGCTTTATAAAAATTGATGTATATATCTGAATGGATCAATTAAGGATTTTATTTTAATAGTATTTTTACTTTTAGGTTGAACGCGTTCATAAAAATCTTAAATCAACTCTTATAGTTTCTGAAATCGAAATAGTATATTTTTTTGTATAAGCCTTTTCGAAAAAATATGTTTTTCGGGTTTTATGACTGTTGTTTTATTGTATTAAGTTTTTCCCCTAGAAGCTTGGGGTTTTCACCATATTTTTTTTACTTCATCCGCTGACCCCCCTGCACATCCCCTTCCTGACGCCACTGTCCGCTTGGCTGGGCACCCATCGCAGTTGTTTTATTTGCGCTTCCGTTTCGCGGACAGTTTGCTTTGCTGTTTTTACTTCATTTTTCTCGAGCTCTGCACGCCGTATCTAACTGTCTCTGTTGCTCCTTTTTATACCCTTGCAGAGGGTATTATAACTTTAGTCAGAAGTTTGCAACGCAGGGAAGGAGATGATGAAGGAGGAAGTATATACATACATATATTCCTCATAAGCATCACGTTCTGATTCGAACTAGACGTGTACGTCTGTCCGCTGCCCGATTTTTAAGTGGTATTTTAATTCTCTAACGAACTGCATAATTAGTTATTTTTTATTTCTTGCATCGACATTTGTCATGACTGCAAGGGTATATAAGCTCGCCGAAGCAATGTTCCATTCTTGTTTGGTTTTGGTTTTGGTTCCGTTTTTGGTTTTTGTTTTTGGCTTTTATTTAATTTTTTTGTTTTTGTTCCTTCGCTTACAACAGAAAAATGTTACAACAAAACATTTACGACGTCATCGTTTCACAATTTTTGTACTGCGACCCCCTTTTGCTCACTTTCTCGCTGTCCTGGAATCGCTGTTTTGTGTTTGTGTTGTGTGTTGTGTCTTGAAATAAAAATTGTTGTTGCCGCTCTCGTTCTTCATATTGTTGTACAAGGTCCGCCCACAGCTGCCTTAAAACAACAACAACAACGGCACAGGCACACACAAAAAATAACAGTGGCAAAAAAAGAGAGGCAAACCTTGTGTCATTTATCATGCATTTCCACTTTTGGCTTCCGTCGACCGGGACGTGGCCCGCACAGACAAATGTACAGAGACAGGCGGACAGACGGACGGACGGACGGGAAACGGACAGGCGGACGGACAAACGGACAAATGGACAAATGGACAGTCGGACGGACAGTGGTCTAGTCGAGTTTTTTCCAGGCAGCCAGCCGCAAGCTCTTTAAAACAAAGAAATTGGGTTGTAGAGCTTCCCCGAATTTAGGAAAATACCTTAGTTATAATAATAATAATAATATTACTTAAATACTTACATCTACTTTTTATGCGACATATTTAAATATATTAAAATAATCTAGAGATTTTTTAATGGGTATGTTTTTCCACACTTTTAAAACCAAAAGAAAAGATAATTTCTAAATGCATTCACCATGTGTCAAATTATAGGTACTATTCCCATGCTATTTATCCAGATCTTATCTTTGTCACTAGTATTTCTTGGTTTATTCTTGCAAATGAAGCAAGGCAGAATCCAAATTTATGCGTTTTCATTTGCTGGTCATTCCCTAAATATTTCCATTTCATAGAAAAAATACAAGTCTTTAAGCGGAATTCGAAATTAATCAAGACGAACGTTAAATTCATTTTTTTTTCCCTTTCTCAGCAACATTTGCCTCTTGTGTGCCCCAAAAAAGTTGCCAAGTCATTTGTGAAATTTGAATATGGAGATGTTGCAAGTGGACGAGGGCAAGAAGTACGGGAAATTATGGAAAAGTTTTTGAAATTGTTTGATATTGAAACGCGGCAAATATTCACGACTTGCTGCTGCTGTTTTTTTTATTTTTATTTTTTGTCCACTGGAGGGCAATTGATTAAGAGCCGCGGGAGGCGGAAAGTGGTCTGGGCTGACTGTGATGGAGTGACTGCTCCAGGTGGGCTGACGGGAATGAGTTGCGATTTTCCAGTTCCTTGAGGGATGACATGAATGGCGAATGAAGTCTGAAATTCTCCCCTTTCTCCAGAACTAAAAGATTTTATTATTTATAAATGATAAACAGATAACTTTGCTGCCAAGCCAAAAACAGTGTCTCTAAAAACTTTGTTATGAAAATAACATGGGAGATTCTGAATCCAAATCAGATTACTTATTTATACCCAGTTTTTACTTATCTGAACCCTATGGCAAAGCTATTTTTTTTCTGGATTTCCCTTTGCGATTTGTGGAGCTCGCAGCTGGGACTTTGGCCCGTTGCAATGAAGTTGGTCTGATCACATGCGGGAACTCGAGCCTTGGCTTTATCTGCCAAACAAATGCGACGCCATTTGGTCGCCCCCTTCCCAATTTCGCTTCCTCAACTTGGCCATTTCTCTCGGTGACGCATCGGGACCGCAATGAACTTGAGCCAGCTGTCAATGTGATAAATAAACTTGGCTCGCAAAGGGTTCAGCCCCCTGAACTCTGACTCTGCTGCAACATATAAATAATAATCAGGCAGCGGCTGTCTCAGCTGTCTCGCTACAGTGCGTTCTGTAAATGTAAGGCTGGGAAAACGGGCAGAAATACAATCAATGTAATTTTGAATATTTTTTCTAATAGCCATTTCCTTCTACTGAGTTCGAGTTCAAATTAATTAGTAGAGTTAGAACCTTTTTTAAATGAAAACCAGACAATCACAAACTATTGAAATAGCATGCAATTTCTGATCTATTTTCGATTGGTTTTTTCTGGCATATTCGTACTTTTCCAGGACAAACTGTGCACCGCAAACTTATCTCCTGTGTGAAAGTTGCCCAACTTAAAATGTGTATTCTTGCCATTCTTGCAGAAACTTTTGATCCAAGGGCAACCGACAACCGACAGGATGCTGGCACTGCCTCTGCTGACCATGGCAATCCTCGCCAGCTGCGGCTACTCCGTGGACGCCTACTCGAGTACGTATACTTGATATTTGATATTGCGGGCGGCGGGGGCTTTCCCAACTCTTTCTTCTCCCCATGGAGGAAAGCCACCGCCCCCACAGTTGTTTGTTGTGTTGTGTGATCAGTAATCCCGAGATGAGCACCGATCTTTAAGATCGGTGGTGAACGTTTCATGCCTTCATCAACCCCCTCCAATTCATCATATTGAACATATCGAGGCCAGAGGAGATAACCCCCAAGTTTGTGCAGGCTTATAATTTGTTTTTCCTTTTTTTTCCGTATGATTTTGACCCACTCCACTCAACTCCACAAATACACACACTGAAACCCGCTCTATCCGTAAACCGAAAACCGTAAACCGAAATCCGCCATCCGCAATCCGATATCCGTAATCCCCGAACCTAATCGAATTTCCCCGCGGGCGAAGAGTACGGCCGTGGATGCGGGGACATTGGCTGCCTGCCCACCGAGGAGTGCGTCATCACCAGCGACTCGTGCAGCTACAACCAGCGGGACGGCAAGGATTGCGGCAACTATCCCACCTGCAAGCGGCGCTCCGGCGGAGGATCGTCCGCCTCGAACAGCAGCCCCAATTTGGCCACTCCCTCGGCCAATCCGTCAGGTATTTAGCTTGGAATCCCCCCTGATTACTCATTGTGCGCTTCCCTGGGGGAGTTGTCCAGGCGATTGGCATCGTGTTTCGCATATTTCGTGTTTGGCGACCGGCGATTGGCGGCCACAATTTTTTGGTTCCTCAAAACGTCTTATGAATTCCGAACGATTTGTGACTAAAGACAGGGATTTGCTGGGGCGACAGAGTCTTCTTCGGGCGCCGAAGATAACCATATCCTTGCAGAGCCCATATAGATTTCTCGTTTAAAGTGGAGGGCAAACATTTGTTAAGAAACATTTTATTTTCGGTAAAACCTTCATAAAATGGCAAAAAAAAATTTTTCTTTTCATGTTTCTAGGCCTATAAAATAGTTGCATACCAGCTTTTTAAATTTCGAAATATAAATTTATTCGAAATTTTTATGGGGTTCCATCTTACAATTTTTGCAAAATCCATTCTTCCATATTTTCCACCTTTTTTTCGTAAAACTTGCACAAAAGGGACAAAAATCGTTGAAGCTCAATGGAAAAGGTATTTTCTTTAACGTCAAAAAAGTTGCGTACCAACTTTATCAAATTTCGGGAGTTTATTTGCATTTTGGTAAAATCGATTGTATTATTTTTCTGACATTTTTTTTACCTCGCTCAGTATGGTATGAACCGATTTGTTTTCTCAAAAACCAATGTGGTGCATCTGTGTATAACGTATACCCAAAAGAAAAAAAATGAAAAGTTGTCACGTCTGAAAATCTATAAAACTCTGCAAGGATATTATAACTTAACTTAGAAATTGTCGAATTTAATTTGTGTTTGTTGTTTTTCGTTTCGCCCTAAGTAAATGTTTAGTTCTGTGATTGTTTTCATCGATATATATGCAATTTAAACGAATGTAAAATGTGTATCGCGATCTAACACACACGCACACGCACACCCACACCAACACACACTTAAAGCTTCCGCTGACTCAATCAATCTAACACTTGATCAATCAATCAATCACTCGCTCGCTCGCTCATTCATCGCCTCATTCGCTCAAGGCTTCAAGATATTCGACCGCTAATCACCCCCCACCCACTCGCTCCCACCTGTCCCCCTCTCAGCCACCCACTTCTGCATGTTTTAGGAAGTCACAGCACAGAGAAAAAAAAATGGTATACAAATGCAAATATCGTTTTGTCATTTCAATGCTCCAAACGAATCATCAAGGCTTAAAGTGTGTTGTTAAAAGTTTAATTCAACTAAAAACACTAAATGCTTTTGCTAACAACGACAACGAATGAAATGCTTATAAGCCACTTCTATGCAACAAATTTACAATCCGAGCATATTTTCTTAAAAGCTGAATAAACAATTAAGCTCTCCGCTAAATATAGCTGCAATTTTCAGAGAATTTTTTTTGAAATTGAAAAGGGTTCAATTGTGAACTCTGTAAAGAATTATTAAAATAACTTCCAGATAACCATTAAACTAATTATTTTGAATGGGAGAAGCTTAATTGCTGCTTCACTTAAACTACAAAAAAAAAAAACGAATACATTTTTCTCTGTGCTCGGTGGAGAGGAGGAGTCTGAAGGGAGAGCTGGCTGGGCGGGATCTTGGCCAAAACTAACACTAACAAGTTAACCCGCTCTCTTTCCGCCGCGCGCCATCGACTAACCCACTAACAGGATCGAGTCTGGGCCAGGGACCCGAGAACAACATCTTTGCACCCGCCTCATCGAACCCTACGCTTAACACCTACACCTACAACAGCCATCAGCAGGGCGGCGATGGCATGGGCGATGCCGGAAACGGAAACGGAAATGGTAACGGCAACGGGAATGGAAACGGCAACGGTGGGGATCGCGACAAGGGCGGCAACGCGGGGGCGGCGGGCGCCTCGTCGACGGGCGTGATCGATCCGCATTACGTTTTTGGGGCGAAGCACCATATGCCCGTCATACCGAACATGCCCATCTTCCCGTACAACTCGCCCACGTCGGCGCCATCGTTCCAACAGTTCCCACAACCCAACCATCCAGGCAGCGTCCTCAATCCCGGCTATCCCATGCACGGCCTGCAGCCGGTGAACCCCTACAATCCGCCCTTCGTCTTTGGCCAGCTGCCGTTTTACGGCGGCGGCGGACCGACCGGCACCGGCGGTCCGCCCGGAGGCGTTGGCGGCAACGTCGGCAATGTCGGCGGCGTCGGCGGCGGCGTTGGCTTGCCCAGCTCAACGTTGGGCATCCTCGGCGGCGGCGGCGGCGGCCTGGCGCCCTACGGCAGCAACTACCAGGGCTACCAGAGCCAGCACTCCAACGCGAATATGTACAACAAGCCGCCGCCGCAGTACCAGAATCAGAATCAACAGAATCCCTACAACCGGCGCACCCAGGCGCATCCCTCGGCAGCCGGCAGTCTGGGCGGGATCGGGAGCGGTATCGGTCGACCACTGACCTTGATTGCTGGCCTCGTGCTCACCCTCCTCGTCCCACGCACGTAATAAGCTGGGCGGCAGAGCAGGAGCGGCACAGCCCACAACTCGACGACCCCCGGAAAATTAACCCCAGTTCGGAGTAACCTTCTCGCCAGAAAACATTTTCACTGAGATCTTTAACTACCATTTGGACATATTTTTAAATTTAAAAACTACACAGCCTGATCGAATGCTTTCACTTCACAAAATAATGGAATGAATATCATCTTACAGTGATAAAAAAAGAAAGCCATACATTTCCCATTGATTATATAAAAAGGCATGGCAATAATATGAAATAATGAAACTTACTCTACAGTGAAAATGGGATCTTGCCTGAGGGTTACGTTTTATTTTCATTTGATTTGATTTTTATTTTTTTACTTACCTCATTTTTCTCAAGTTTTATTTTAAATATTTTTTGGTGTAGGCTTAAGTAAAAAAATGTACAAGCAGCAGCAGCGGCGGTTGGAAATGCACCTAAATATTTTAAGATTTTTAAAGTGAGCCAATCAATCAGCCAACAAAAAATTGATTTAAAAGCACATATTTTTGTAAATTATTTTTTTTAACACCTGAATTTTACTTCAATTACAAATATTTACTAATGCTACGTATACGTAACTTAAAAGACGAGTATATTGCGTATACGCAACCGTATATTTTACTGTCCGGCGGACAACTTGATATTAAGGACCATTGCTCTTTTGAAATTGCTGGCGGAGTGATATAGCCAATTATTGGAATAGCTGCAGGTACTTTATGTTCCGTACTTCTATCCGAATCCGAAACAATGGAACCTTTAACATCATGCCAACTTGCCGTTGCTTTCGACAACAATTAAAAGGCTATGTTTTAATTAAATTATAGGCTATACGGCTTTTCCGCCACTCGCTCCACGTAGTTTGGCATTTTTCTCTCGGCAGCCTTTGCTGTCTGGCCCACACTGCGAATACGTAATTTCAATTTAATATTGTGTAGGATAGTGGGTGAGTGTGTGGGTGTGTTGCTCTGTGTGTGTGTGTGGCAGCGAGTTCATTTGTGTGAGCTTTCCGACTATCAGTCAAGGGGAACTAGTCGCCGGCCCCTGGGAGCTGCTCTTTTTTGCAGCTCAATTAAATTGGAATTTAATTTCGGGCTTAGACAGCAAGCCTCTGGTCAAAGGGGGCAAAGTCTGACCGCCGATACACACAGCATCGCACACCCACACACACACACATACACACCAACGCATACACATGGATGGTTGGGCAACTTTGATGTTAATTTCATTTTTGTTGATGGTACGAATTTGCGGCGAGACGCTGGCGAATCCCGGGCTTTCGATGCTGCCACTGCTGCTGCTGCTGCTGCTACTGCTGCTGTAGTCAGCTACAGAAACCGAAACAGCTACAGATACAGATACTTAGATGGATAGTGTTGTAGATACAAGATACGCATGTCAATCAAAATGCATAATGAGCTACATTCGAGGGCAGTGCACCAAGTGCGCTGCGAGCAAATCAGATTGGTTCTACTCCTCCTTTTTTTGTACGACTACAGATACGAATAAATAAATAATCAGTGAAGCAAGTTAAATGGCATTTTAAGAGAACAAATGAAAACATGAATTAAGCTAGCCTAAGGTGTTCGAAACTAATCTAAAGTAAAAAACTAAAAGCTAAGCTGTAAGTGCTGCAGACTCTCGTAACCGAAAAATCAAAACTGTCACAAAAAGGCATTTACATTGCTAACCAACTGCCAGAAATACAAACAACTAAAAAATCGTAAGCCAAAAAACAAATACTGAATGCAGAATACAAAATGCAAAATACAAAATTGTGAAACATTGCAAACACTTACAAACTTACAAACACACACTCATATACAAATTCAAAGTCCCAGAAATTCAAAACTGCCCAAGAAATATGAAATAACAATTTTGTCGCTGTAAATTCCGGATAAAAAGGCACTCATGTCGAGCATATTTACTCCGTCCGTTTGTATTTGCACACACACTTGATTTGGGACACCAACTAATGCTAACTTCATTTGCAATCTCTGAACCGGAACCATGTAAACAGTACGACCAGTATTAACCAAACTGAAATCATTTTATCGAGTTAAGAAACCAGATACTAACCGAAAACCCCCCTTTACCCAGGAACACGGCGAGGAAATTAACGAGCAAACAATAAGTATTCGAGTATTTACTAATCAAAACCACTAACTAAAGAGTTGTACATAGCATTAAATATATATAGACGTGTGTGGACAGAGATATATTTAATATACTACAGCGAAGACTTAACTAGAATAAGCCCGGGCGGACAAAAAAAAAAAAAAAAAAAGAAAAGAAAAAGAAAACTCAAAGTTGTGTAGACTTAAATCGGTACGGAAGTTGAAATCAAAAACGTAAGCTAAGTTCATTGATTGTCCTAACCATTTTATGCTTTCATTTTTCGTTCTCCTTACTTATTTTTTTCTGTGTGCTCTCTTTGTTTTTGTGTTCTATATATTTTGAATACTCCCCATTCGAAATCCCCGCTTTTGTGGCTAACCTGTGGCTAACTGCTTGCGCGCTGCTTACCTGATCCGATCATCCGATCATCCGATCAGAGGTGAGCCATAACGCATACGCCCCGAATGCCCCGCTGCCGGAAGCGGATGCGAGCGGTGGTGCTGGCTACGGCGGTGCTGCGAGCGGTGGCAACGGCGGATACGGTGGTGGCTTCTCGGCTGGCGGCCACTCCCTCTACCCATCTCTACCCAACTCAAATGGCGGCGCCGGCGGCGGTGGCGGCAATGGTGGTGGTGCAGCGGCCTATAATCCGTATGGAGGCGGCGGCGGCGGCGGTGGTGGTGGCTACAATCCCTACAACGGCGGCTATCAACCACCGGCCAACAATGGTGGCTACCAGCCCCCCGGCGGCTATCAACCCCAAGCTCCTGGCGGCTATCAACCCCGACCTGGCTACACGCCACCCGCCCCGGGCTACGAGAACAACGGTGGTGGTGGCCAGAAGCCCAAGGACAAGGAGGGCGGCTTCTTCTCCAACTTCTTCTCGAATCCGGCGGTGAGTCAAGCGGTGTCCGGTATCATTGCAGGCCAGATAGCCAAGCAGCTGCAGGGCGGAGGCGCCGGTGGAGCCGGCGGTAATGGCCAGCAGTCCGGTGGCTATCAGCCCAGCGGTGGCTACGGCGGTGGACCGTCTGGCGGCTACGGCGGCGGCGGCGGCGGTGGAAGTGGTTCCTCCGGCAGCAACATCCTCGGCGGACTCCTCGGCTCCGTTTTGTCTGGCGGTGGTGCGAATGCTGGAGGCGGAGGAGGAGGCGGCGGTGCTGGCAGCTTCCTGGGCAGCCTGCTCAGCGGTGGAAACTCCAACAGGGGAAGCAGCCAAGGAAGCGGCGGATCTGGCGGACTGGGCGACCTCTTCAGCTCGAAGAACTTCGGCGGCCTCTTCAGCGAGAACCCATCCTCCCGAGGAGGCGGTGGTGGCTCCTCCGATGGCTACTCCTCGCAAGGCGGAGCCAAGAGCTATCCCACCCAGGCGCCGGGCAACTATTATGGTTAAACAAGCCCCACTTTTTGCGGCGGAGAAAGTCTCCCCCTTTTAAATACACAAGTTTTTTTTTTTTCGTTCTTTGGCATTGTAATCAAATGAAGAACTTTCAACGAAATTTACTGAAACAATATTGAAATATTTAAGCATATTATACGCAACTATAAATGACGATTATACAAATACAATACATATATACAAGCATATATACCCGATAATTGAGAAAGCTGTCACATGTAATTTGAGATACCGTGCGTGTAGAATCACCATTCGGAGTTCATTTGTAAATAGAGAAAAACTTGAAATTGAAATTGAACCAGATAAAATACGTAAAAATTTAAAGCCATCCTCCGAGATTTTTCATTTGCATTTGGGCGGGGTAACTGGGCTCAAAAGTGGCGGAGCGGTAAGTTAATGATTTGAGGTAACTTATATTTACCAGTTTTCCAGAAACATAAATTTGCAGGAAAAACACGAAAGTGTTTTGAATGGTAGGAGGACAATTTGGCTGTCCAAATGGACGAAAATGGTCTTTGAACTCATTGTTTTCCATCGATCAACGAGAGCAGCTGAAACCGCGTTGGGGGATTCATCGAGGAGCAGCAGACAATTATTCGCCTTGGACGAGCAGAGTGATTTATTTATTTTTATAATAAATTTTATTATTAAGGTTTTTAGTAACTTGAGAGATATTCTTTTAAATGTAGGATATTTTATTATAGATTTTAACTTATTATTTAATATCGAGTTGATTTGGAATTACATATTTGTTTTAATAAAATTTAAATTAAATAAAATGTTTTTTGTTGGTTTGGGGCTATATTGAAAATTATGAGAACATTACTCCAATCAAATACTTCAACAGAAAATCTAAAAACCTCTTTCCCTTGTGTGCCTCCTGCTAAGGGCTAATTAAATTGTTAAAATTAATAGTGATAAATTTATTTATCCAACAAAACCGAAATTAAAACGAAATCGTTTGGAATTACGGTACTGTACATACGATTTATTTTCCCCTGAGATAGAGACAATTTTTATTTTAAATAACAAAGTTCTTTTTAATGATTTTATGCAATTTTTTTCATATTTTAAAATGATTTTTGTGTGATGTTTGGGAAAAAAACGACTTACAGCTGAACAAAGTAGTATATTTTGAGTGGTTTTTTGGTTGTAATAAGGCCAATTAGTGACTTGCAGTGGAACCAAACACTGTTTTGAGCACCTTATGACCACAGTTAACGAGCCCAATCACTTTTTGGACGATTAAAAAAAAAATGATTTTTGACCAATTTTCGCAATTTTGGTAAGGGGTAACATCGTCATTTTTTGCGAAAAATGGCAAAATTTCAACTTTTTTGGGTGTTTATACCATCGGAATCAGAATTTTATTACGAATTCAACAATGTATGCCACTCCACATTTGGGAGAGTACTTTCTAAGATATTCCAAAAAAACTGGGTTTTTTAAGCCATTTTTTGTAGTTGTGGCCGAAAAAAAACTTTTTCCATTGGTAATTTGTCTGTTATTTGGGCAAGAAACAACTTACAGCCAAACAAAGTATAGTTTTGGAAACAAGAAAAGCCCAACTATTCATGCCACCGAATGCAATTTAATTGTTATAGTTAATTGATCCTTTAGTTAGTTCAAAAAAACTGATTTGGGAAAGATCAGTTGACAATTCCGGTAGAAAACACTATATTTTTAGTGGTTTTTTGGTTGTAATAAGGCCAAAAAGTGACTTATGCCACTTATAAATGTAGTGAATTTTGCTGAATTTTCAACACAACCATTTTTTCTAAATTTCGACAACAAAATTAACAAATGATGCGGCGAACTGCTCACATTGCATCAGCCTATGCAGCGATCGGGGCCACAGCGTTGGATTCTAAATTTAAGAACAGTGAATGGACTAGACTGGCAGCTAAGACTCTCAAGACATGGATTCTATAAGTATAAGTCTTAGGAATAGTTATTACGAAATTGTATAATAATTTCTTTTTTTAATGCCAATCAGGAATATATACACTCTATGGGATCTGAGGTGTCTCTGTCACTGCTTCGTAAACTTCTGACGGATGTTATAATACCCTCGGCAAGGGTATAATGAATGCGATCAAGAGTTTCCAAGAGCCTGTTGGCTGAAGGCAAGCGGACTTGCAACCCGAAAATGTTGCCCGAGTTGGCAAAGTTTCGCGTTCGAGCGGCACTCGAAAAGCGCTGCGTTTCCGTCGCCGATTCACCTGTTCTCTTCCGTTCCCGTCCGCTGCTCACCTGTCGTCCCGCCTCGCACCTTAGTTGGTCACACACACACACACACACATACACACGCACACTCGGCAGTTCTGCAGTTGGCAGTTGGCTTTTGGCCGAAGCAGAATTGAAGGAGGAGGGGGTGTCTGCTCCGGCAAACATTTTGTTGCCTTTGTTGGGTGGAATGTTGCTGCTGCACTGCAACAATATATTATGCGCTAAGCTCCTCAACTATGCAGCCGGCGGATGGGTGGCCATTTGGCTTTGGCTTTGGCTCTGGTTAACCGACTACCGTTTTGTAATTTATTTAAGTAATAAAATAAATATACGTACGTTATATGGTACGTACGTTGCGCACCTGCCCGTCTGGTTATCCGTGTGCATGTGGATGTGGATGCTACATGGCTATATGTGGACGTGGATGCCACCGGTCGGTCGGTCGGTCGGTCGGTCGGTTGGTGGGTTTGTTGTCAAGCGAAAGTGCGCTTCAAGTGCACCAAGCACCCACTTGGCCAAAGTGAATTTAGTGTCAAGTGCAGGAAAATGTGAAAAGCAGCTGCGAGTTAGTTTTTCATATTTAAGCAGCACTTCACCCAGCAACAACAACAACTACAACAAAACGAAGGGAGCGGTTCACACTGGTCGGTTGTCTATGCAAAACGGGACTTATGGTTTATCTGCCCATTAGTCGAAAACCCAACTGTTGGGTATAATTTTAGAGCACTTTACTTCGAATTATATATTAAAAATTATATTAAAAACAAAAGTAATTGTTTACTTGGAAAAAAATAAACAAGTTTTTAGGTTTTTAACACTAGTTCTTTCTTACGCAGCCTTCTACTTTGTGAAGCTAGATTTCATTTTCCACTTAGGAAACGTATTCCTATTATTAAGTGTATCCCTTAATATATTTGTATATCAATATCGCATGAATATTTATTAATTTATGATAGGCTGTTTGTTTATGTTATTGTTTAATTGTATAAAGCTTAAGCTGCACCACTGTGCACCACCCAAAAGCAGCGAGTGGTGGGTGGCAGATCGAGGACCAGGACTTCTGGGCCGGGATTTCAGCTGGCAGCTCCTTCAGGCCAAAACAATGACGCGCCGCATTTAGAAGCCTTTCGCTCTCGGTGCCCCACATGCCACTCCCCCTTCCCCTCTATCCCCCTCTCCCTCTCCCTCTTCCCTTAACCCTTCGGTGGTGCTGGCCCCCCCTTAACCCATGGCTGCCGCACGGTGTTCGTTCCGCAGCGGATGTCGTTGACTTTTCAAGTCGCATTAGATGCGACACGGCGGCGTCGTCATCGCGGTGGTTGGGTGGTTTCTAGTTGGGTGTTGGGGTGGCAGGGTGGCCGGGTGGCAGGGTGGCTGGGCTGAGTGGGTGGGGCATAAAAATACATGTAAGAGGCTTTCAGCTTATTGTTTGGCACTGTCGCGTTTTTATGATTGCACGCAAGCCTCTCTCTTCTCTGGCCATCGCAACTCCTCGTTGCCTTTGGCGTCTGGCTTTGGGCCCTTGTCTCGGCTTAATTTTATTGATATTACACGTACTTGAAGTCGACGACCAGGTCGAAAACAGCCATACCAGTACTCATTCCCATTCGCATTCCCATTCGCATTCCCATTCTCATTCCCATTCCCAGCGTCTGGCTATTAATTTTTACGGCTTACGACTTACGGCTTTTGGGAGAAGCGCATAAACGCCCGGTGGAAGTTGGTACCGCGAGGTTGATCAATTTTTTATATCTATTGGCACTTACTTGCCGCGATATATTACGTATTTATGCCGCCGCTCTGCTTCAGGCAAATCCAATTACCATTTCATAATCAACAATCAAGTGTCTTCACTCCATTCACTTCCTTTTTATGTTAAAAACAAAGTTATATTTAGAGGAGCTTTCAACACGTTTTCATGGAGAAGACGGCGAATGTGTCATTCCTTTGGGTATCTATAGTAAGTTTTTTTCTAAGAGAAAAACATTCCGCTTACTTTTGAAGATTTTTAAAGTTATTCTCTGTAATTTCTCGCGAAATCTTACTGAAATTCTTTTTGGACAAATGTTTCTTGCGGGCATTTTCTCGATTGGCTCATTCATTGTGTATTCTAACAACAACTATTCTTTAACATGTGTATTATATAGTTGTTGTTGTTGTGGGGCAATAAAAATGCTACAACTTAATTAATTAAGTGCAAATGATAAAAATGACCAAACAGCACGAAACACATACAAACAAACAGACACACACACACACAATGAAACACTCAAACACATATACAAATACACACTCGCCAAACAGAGAGAGAAAAAACTAATTAAGTTTTATGTGCAATTTTCGTGGCTGAAAAGTTTCGTTTGTGTGGCAATCGTGTGGTGGGCGAAAGGGGGAAAGGGGGCGTGGCTGGGCAAGGGGAACCGTTTGGCCAGAGAACGTGGCACGTTACGTTGCCGTCACGTTCCGTTATTTATTTTGATAGTTTGTTGTAGCTGCATTGTCTGCCCATTTCCCTCTTTGCCATTTTCCACTCTCGCACTCCTGGCCGTTCTATGTTTTTCCATCTCTTTTGGCGGGAAATCTGTGCGCTGACATTTGCCGCGATTAATGAAAGTTAAGCTTTTGTCCGAAGTCTTTAATTTGTGGCCATTAGAGGATGGCCAACACACAATCACATACGCTGTTTGGGGAAAATAGTGGAAAGGCAGAAATGGGAGTGGTACACTCACAAAGAAAGTAACAAAACTAATAATTAAAAAATAATAAACTTAAGGAGTTTATTTTGCCAAAAATTGTAATCGGGAAGCCCATAAAAATTTCAAAAAAAAATGTATTTTCCGAAATTTTAAAAAAGCTGGTATGCAACTATTTTATAAGCCTGGGAACATAAAAGAAAATGTCATCTCCGTTGATATAAATTGATTTTTGACCATTTTATGATGTTTTACTAAAAAAATGTCAACAAAATAAAAAATCAGATTTTGTAAAAATTGTAAGAAAAAATGTATTTTCCGAAATTTAAAAAAGCTGGTATGCAACTACTAACTAAATTTGCTCGTTATTACAAACCATTTCTCCCAGTGATCACCGCAAAACATT